GAGTGGGGAAGATGGACTGAGCTGCTGGATTTCAGTCCCCTCGCTGAGGGTGACGGAAGGGTTCACGTTACCGGCACCCCACCTTGTCATTTCACATATGCTTCCATTACTTATCTTCTATGTTTGCAATTTTTAAATAGTCATTGGTCTGAAAAGACACCTTTTCAAATTTATTTGTATGTTTTGGTAATAATATACAATATGGATGGATTTTACTGAATATTTCACTTTTAAAGCTAGTATGGGATGATTAATTTATAGTTAATAATTACTCATACATTTACGTTCTCTTTTCATCAGTTGTGGCTGACAGAAACCTAGTGTTGACTGAATCTACCAGATGTCCTTCTCACATTGGCTGTTGGACTATGATGGGAATCCCACTTTGTTGGTGTTTCATGCAAGAATAAACCATTATCTACACTGAATACTTATTACCTGAACAGTGGATTCATGCTTCCTTGTTCATCTGACTTCAGAGAGCTTCCTATAGCATGAGAGTGAGGGGCGGAAGCAGCAGGTTTTATACAACCCTCCACACCAATTCCTCAGATTCTCTCAGAACCATGCTTACCCGCATCCTTTTTCTGTGAGGACGGAAGACATTTCTGCTCCTGCTTAAGCTCCAGGCCATTGTCTTGATCAGGACCCCACTCCTGCCTTGTTAGTGACCTTGGGTCTCTTCTCTCTTGGATTTTCATTAGGTCATTGGTTCCTGTAAGCACACACAGGTACATACTGTTATCTAAGAAAAGGGCGTCTAGCAGAATCTCTTTGATCTGCTCTCAGCATGTACAGCCTTGCTTCGTTCCTTCTCTTGGACACAGACCTCTTGCCCAGTGCGTAGCCCAGGTTCTGTCTGCCTCTTTTCTCTGCCCTGCTCTTCTTACTATGGCTGTGCACCTTTAAAAGGTGCTCGTTCTGCAGCCATCACTTCTCTATGACTGTCAGCACTTGTGAGTTTTTGTTTTCTTTATTCATCTCCAAGGGAATGCACTTCCCGTGATGCCCAAATTGGGAGTTGTGCTGTCCTTCTACCTGGCTGTTCTTTCTCCTTTGGTTGCTGCCACTTCTCCTCTTGCCAACCCAGTCCAGTCTCTTTAGGATGTCTCCCTGCTACATTATATTCTTGGTATGTTAAATTTTGCTTACATTTTAGAAAGGATACCCTCTTTCCTTTTATTCAAGATATCATGTATTTTGTTTCTCCAGGCTAGGATGTTTCCTTTTGCCCAATTCATCCATTAGTGATGATTAGATTCCTTTAAAGATTAAAGGAATAAAGATAAAGGTTCATATGGAGGACCTCTTTCCTAGTTAGTGGTACTATTGCTATGTAATACCATCACCAAAAGCAAGTTGGGGAGGAAAGGGTTTATTTGGCCTATACTTCCACATCATAGTCCATCACTGAAAGAAGTCAGGGAGGGACCTGGAGGCAGGAGCTGATGTAGAGGCCATGGCGGGATGCTGTTTACTGATTCATTCCCCTTGGTTTGCTTAGCCTACTTTCATAAAACCTAGGACTACCCCTCAGGGGTGCCACCATCCACAATGGACTGGACCCTCCCACATCAATCACTAATTATGAAAATCCTTACAGACTTGCTTGCACCCTGACTTTTCGAATGCATTAAAAAGTGTACACTACCATACCCTGTCTATATATGCTTTTTCTTTAGTGCCTCTCTTTTCTGTAAATGTAGGAATCCAGTTTAACTTTGCTATGGTATCTCCATAGGTGAAAAAGTTAAAAAAACCCCACACATTTTTCAAAAGGGCTACTAATTTTTATTTAATAATTTCTATTAATTTATTTTCAAAAGACATTCCTTCCTTAGCAGCATTTCTTGAATTTACCAAGTGAAGGATTCTTCAAGTTCAATTGAATTGTCAAACCCTAGACAGTCTTTGACATTCTGCCCATGAGTGATATGAAGAGTCAGGAGGCAATGGATTTAGTTCTGAATGAAGTAGGTGGAACTTAGTTAGATGGGCCACAGAAGTATTTATTATTGGAAAATATTCCAAGTTAAGTTCTCTGGAGCCAAGAAAGCTCCAATCTTACTTAGCCAGCTGTTTGAGGAGACTAAGAACGTCTCATGCTTTGGCCATAGTTTCCTTGTGCATAAACATCATTCTGTAATGTGAGTGATTCAAGCTGGGAGAAAGCTGTCATCAGAGAGCTGCAGAGATGGCTGAGCACTTAAGAGCACTGGCTGCACTTCACCTGGTAGCTCACAACTGTCTGTAATTCCAGTTTCAGGGAAGTCATTGCTCTCTTCTGACCTCCTTGGGCACCAGGCACATTTGATGTACACATCCACACATCCAGGCAAAACACTTATACACATAAAATAAAAATAGATGTATATATTTTAAAAAACAAATCTGTACTCAAGAGAAATACCAAGATTGTACATTCTATCTTTTCTGGAGTAAATAGTGTCTGAACTCTGGTTTTTTAGATGAATAATAGTAAAGAAACTGTATATTTAACTCATCTTTGAATTCCCCAGAATCAAAGAGATTTTATTAATTGATAGGAATTAGGAAGTATTGTTTTTATCCTGTGATTTTTTTGTTTAGTATAATCCACACTAATATTTTTATTTTAATATTTTGCTTTTTATTAAGGGCTAGAAGGTGTGAAATATCAAAATAAAGGATTTTTCTTTATTTTTAAAAATCACAGTTGAAGAGCATTTGTGCTCATGTGGAAACAGTAATTTTGACTATCTGCAGGATTACTGATTTAACAAGCATTTGTGTACGTATGCTGTAACTATGTGAGGATGAAGTGACACATTTTTCTCGTCAGCAGCGGTGCTTCTGGGTAGGTAGGGTGTGGGGTCTCCTTGGACTCTGACTGGTGGGACGAGCACAGGGTCCCTGTCACAGCTCCGCAGCCCCACTAGCAGCTCCCATCCCTGTCCCTTAAGAGCAGCATAAAATCGGTCCTGACAGATCAGATGAGGATCTGGAGTAATCCTCAGGGAAGAGAAATTCAGGCTCTGTTTGAAGTGACAAAATCGGATTATTTTTTCTCAGGTCTTTTGTTCCTTTGCGGTACTCTGAAAGGATGCTACAAACATGTAGTTGAAATATAACCACATAAACAGTAACTAAGTTAATCCATTTCAGAATGTGGGTGCACATGAGTCTAATACAGTTTTTCATGCTGCTGAAGGATGAGGTTTATTTAATGAAAATAAATAGGATATTTTCCACTAGATGTTTAATCCAATAAACCTTTCATATAGTCATTTGTTTTTTTTCTGTGAAAATGTAGTGTCTAGAAAATAATGAATGAGTGAGCAAGGGGTGCGTGAAAAGCGAGGCAGCCAAAGCGTATTTAGCTAACTGCAGCCAGCAGTAAAACCAGACTGTGGGGCTGTGCAACTGGTAACCATCCCGAGGTCAGACGTAGGCCTAAGAAACTGCTCATATTCTGAAGTAGCAACTGACTCTAAAGTTGTGGTTGATGGGAAGGGATAGATAAATATCTGCCTCAAAGCACATCCCATGCTATGTGACTAGCCTGCCTCTGTGTGATGGTTTGTTTTTATCACTACTAATCTACTGTCGTACTTTCTTCCTGGAGATTTTTCTGTGTACTTTTGTCTTATGATCGCTTCGTTTTGGTAAAAGTGCCACACAAACCTAAACAATTTGGGATGTAATTATCTATAGGATCTGTAAGATAATTCTTTCGGAAGATTTTCACTTGACCTTTGATGTTTTTCACATTAATTTCCAAAATGTAAACATTTGTTTTATATGAATGAAGACAAAGCATCTGATGTTGCTCTTCATAAATTTCTAATGATTTGTTTTATGTAAGATGTTCTGCATTGCTTATTTGTGTTGATTTATGTGGAAAGCTTTAATTTCTTAATTATTATTAATTTTTTTTTGTGGAAAGCATGCTTTGTTTTTAAGTGAAAAACAATCTTATTTGAACTACGTGTGAAGTACTAGAGTAGTCAGCTCATGTTTAAAGTGCTGCTAGACGTCTTTTGGAATTTGGAATTAATGTTTAAGAAATTTTGCACCCTGATTTTTAGTTTTAAAATGCACCATAAGATGGTGGCAGTTGTGCCATTGAGCTGTAGTTGCCCACTGGATACCCAGAACCGAGTCTCTGCCCCTGAGGCCTTTCCTTGGGGTGGGTGGAGACTGGCAGCACTCGGTGTGTCAGCTCTGTCATGGGTTCAGCAGCCTTTTCCAGAGATGCTGTTAATCCATTCTTAGTTACCTTTTAAAAACTCATTGGAAATATTCAGCTTTCTTTCAGGCAGAATTACGTACATGACCTAAATACTTACTAGTACTAATCAAAGCCAGCAACACCATCCTTTACCACATTTAGAAAGGAGTTTGGGAAATGTGAAAGTAAACAGGTGTATGAGTGTTTCTAAAGCTGTTGATACTGCAGCTAGAAATCCACACACAGAAATCACATTTATTTCCCGAAATAGATTGCAAAATCAAACTTATTTTTAAAAGGCTGTCTTAAATCTACCTAGTAGCTTACCTACTACTCAGAATTAGAGTTTAAATATGAGCATTTAAAACTGAATAAAGCAAAACTAATTATTGACATCATATATTCTTCATGGGAATTTAGAATGGAACGTTTGGTCTAGTCTCTGAGACTGTGTTTGGTTATTATTACTACTTACTACTTTTATATTTTATTTTCAAGTCATAACTTGTGTTTTTATAAAGTATTTTAATTGAAAATGTATTATATTACATTAACCCCAACGCATGCAAATAGATTGTTAAAAGAAATGATTTTAGTAGCATGAATTTAAGTTATGAATTTTATTTCACTCTGTTGCTAAGATTATTTAAACCTAAATGTCAAAATATTTAATCTTATAAGATATAGAGAAATTAACCTTAAAATTGTGTTAAAATATGAAAATTGATCATCTTAAGGATGTTGGCATCTTCCTGCGCTTCCTTTACTGACGTGTGTCGATTGTTTGCAGGTCCTGCGATACTGTGGAAATTCCCAGAGGACTTTGGAGACCAGGTTGGGAAGAGAATTTAAAAACTTTTTAAATTGAAATACTCTATTGTTACTATGAACTGCTGATACTGTATATGAATAGCTGCAATTATTTTTCTTGATAAAATTTGAGAAAGACAAAGTGTGGAGAATATACAGAGGAGTTGTTAGTGACCTTGCAGGTGAGTTAAGAAGTATTTACAGTGAGAATCATAGCAGCTGGGTGTCTGTGGTCTCAACATAGTTCTACATTTTCAGCTAGGGGATATATATTTGGGTACAATAAAAGCTCCCAGTCATAAAAACTTAACACTATTAATTTTTGGTTGGATATACGCATTATTTCTGTACACTTAGAAAGAAGTGTAATGATATAAATCAGTTTTTGTCACAATGATTTTGGAATCACTCACATTTAGAAATTGAATTAGGAATATTTCCTTATTTCTGAATAATTTTTATCACTTTATTTTCTTAGAAAGCTAAAATGTCAGAAAGAAACTACAGGACGAATTTCTTGGTTGGCATTTTTTAGTCTTCTCTAGTTCTTTAATACTTACTATGACCAAAACCCAACTACTTTGATGTGAGTGCATAGAAAAATATTTTAAAATTTATGTTATGGGATATCATTTTGAGATTGAATTATAGTTTGTACTAATTTGTTTTGGTGAAATCCCCCAGATACCTAATAAATAAGTTCCATTCTTTTGCCTAAAAAGAAGTGAGATAATAACAGTTGTATCTCACCAGCTCATACTTTTAGTTCTCAGGTATGATTCCCACAATTCGCAAAAAGTCAATCTCACAAAAGTGTATCATTACAAGTATTCATTCAGAAATAGTATGCATGATTTTGAATATTGTGAAAGGATAATTTTCGAGATTGGAATGTCAACTTGAAAGATGGGAAATTGGGAGTCAACTTGAACGAACCAATTAAATGGGCATGTTAGGTACTGATCGTGTCTGTTGCCCTTGACCATGACTTCAAAGAAAAAGGGTATTTATTCTTAAGTTGCTTTTAGCCTTTAGTAAATGATGGATTTATAAATATTGTAAATATTCTTAAAAGTCCTTCAAGTGAAGGGGTGACTTTGACATAAGCAGCTAAGTGTGTTTATAGTCTCCAGTGATTCTGGACTTTCTACCGGTCTAAAATGCTTGTTGCTTTATCTCCTCAGTTGTCTTTTGTCCACTGCCCTACAAGCATCCTCATGTCCCCTTTCAATTGTTATTACATTATTTTTATTTCTCCCTTTAAAACTTTTCCTTAGAATCCTTGGGACCCTAGGGAAGCCTAACTGTGGGATCACATATGAAGATACATACTTGCCTGTCCACCTGAGCAGACTTTAGTGTGATCACCTGTTGCTGGTCCTCTTGGTTAATAAAATGCTGTTTGTGCATTTTGATATAATGCATCTGTCAGTGTTCCTGCATTTGGTCTAAAGCAGGAGCAGTTCACTGTGTAAGTGGCGGTGATGCCCATAAACCCCAGGGATCCAGTGTACTTTAGTCCTCACAGTCTTTGGTTTTGTCTTTTTGAGTACAGTCTCCCTGTTTGGCCCTGACTGGCCTGGAACAGATGCCTGTCCTCTGCCTCCAGAGTGCTGGGACTAAAGGCTTGTGCCACCAACAGAGCATCATCACAGTCTTTTAAGATTTTAATTAGCATTTAGTAATTGTACGAAATGATAGATTTCATTATGACATTTCATAATATGTATAGTACACTCTGATCATCTTCAGTTCCCTGCTTCACCCTGCTCCTCTCTCCCACTTTCCCTAACTGTACCTTCAAATCCTCCTACTGCTTTCATATAGTATTTCTGTTTTCTTTAATTACTATTGTTAATATATACACATATAAATATGACAGTATCAACCTACCAAGTCAGTTTAGTATTGCTTATATGCATGTTCTTAGTGTTGACCACTTGGGACTGGATAACATATCAGGGGCTCATCCCTGGGGAAGATGGATTCTATCTCTTAGCAGTCATTCATTGTCTATAGCTCTTAATCTAGTAGTGGGGCTTTATAAGACTTCCCTCTTCCTCATTGGTGTGTTGACTTTATTGTTATGGACCAGGTTTTATTTAGGCTACTACATTGCTGAGATTTAGCCTTAATCTTAAACCCCAACGTGAAAATGAATTCTTATGAGGCTTTCTTGAGCTTCTATAGCAACCTGTGTGTAATTTCATAGCTTATTTTTTGTATCTCAAAAGCCATCCTCCTTCCTCTTTGCCACCTCCCTCCCTCTCATTTTTTTTTCCATTTATTTTCCACATACCACTGTGGCTGTCACATAATAAAGTGTGGATAGATGTTTATTTAGTTAAGTGAGTGACATATTAAATAAAGTTGAGTAAACTCATGATAAGTTATCTTGACCACAGTGGGAAAAACAGGCAATTAATGTTCTAGGAAGTCTAGTCCGAGAGCTCCGTGTAAAGCTTGGTTTAGAAAGAGCTCAAGGGCTATGCCAAATATAATGGGGTTTCATTAAAGTGTGAATGAAAGATGTGGCTTTGATGAGGAGTTTGCAGCTTGAAGTTTAGAGTGCTCGCCACTGCCTCCGGATGAGTTCCTGACCAGGGTTCCTCCTCCCCCCTTTCGTTTCCATAGATAAAAGTCTGAGAAGGCTGCTGGAAAAGGCCGGATGCCTCAGTTACTGCACCCGCGTTAGCAACGTGCCGTTCAGTAGCAAATCGTGTAGGAAGTATCTGGAAAGTTTAAATTATAATCTTAAGTGTGTCATCGGAAAGACATTTTCACGTGTGCATTTCAGCTGTGTCCTTTTGGGGCTTTCCTTTGTAGAGGCTGCCAGCTAACTGCCTGACAGTCAGACTCGGCATTTCACACTGTCTTTTATGTTCAACCAAGTGTAGCTGTCTCACTGTGCGGTTTAGAAGGAATGCCTCTTGAACATGTGACCACTTAGAGTTTTATATATTCATTCATTTTTCTCTCCCTGACTGACTTAAAAAGAAATTTGGATAATGCAAAGATTTTCATGATTTAACACTGAGCAGTATTGATATATGGGTATTTTGTAATTTTATTTAGTATGTCACGTATGAAGATCTAAGTTATTTGGCAATAACTTATTGATATTAGTATAACAAAATAATTATGAGCAGTTATGGACTATTCAGAAATTAATTTTTAAAGTATTTTTTGCTTGGTACAGTCACAAGCTGACTTTTGATGTGAAAGTCAATTTTATTTCACTGCTCTTGTGAGGATGTGTGTGCATACACATGCATGTGTTTGTACAGGCCCATTCCTATGACAACATGATTAATTTTTAAGAATATCAGATTTTTTTAGAGAATAGGTAAATATAAAAATTATAATTATATTTGGATGCTTACTTTGTTTCATATTTCAAACATTTTATAGCTATCTTAGTAACATTAGAATGCCAGTTCTTGTTAGTGTGCTTTTGGTTGGTAGGAATATACAGGACTATGTTCTTAATATGTATTGAGAAGAGAATCAGATTGTCAACTATTATTATGAAGATGTGATTTAGTTTTTTTGCAGGTACAGTGTTGGAAAATTTAATATAAAACATGACTGCACTCTTAAGTTACTGTAAATGTGTTTTATATTTTTGAATTGTTGAACTTAAATTTTTCATTGCCAACAGTAGGGAGCTAATTTGGAAAAACAGTGATATTTTCTAAATTTTGTTTTATGGAATAGGTCTTTGCTGGCAGTGGAACTAACATGCTCTCACAAGTTTGTAGTGAAAAGTATTTAAGAAACATTTGGCACTGTATTTGAATATTAAAATGCATTTAACATTAACTTTGTATTTGAAACCCTATTAAAAATGACATAGCTGTTCTGCTGAAGGATGAAAATCTTTACTTTAGTGAGCTTCTAGAGGTAGGGTAGTTATATTTATTTTTATATTAATGAAATTGCTCTAACTCTACAAATGATTTAGTCCAGATAGGCAGACACGACTCTACTCTGGCAGCCTGTAGAAGTAAAGTCATATGTGATGCAGTCGAATAAATACAAGTTTTTTACAGAAGCTTTTTTATTGGCAAAAGTAAAGTTCTACAGCATGCTTGAGGGAAGCAGAATGGACAAATGACATTTCCATAGTGACGTCATATAGGTTCTCCCAAACAGACTGAACAGTGTGGAGTCTTAGGTAAAGAGTTTGTTGCTCTGGCAGGTCAGAACTCTACATGTAAGTTCGTTTTTACTTTTTTTTTTTTTTTTTTTTTTTAAGAAGTTGAAGTTAGTTGAGTATGAAACAAAAGATGGATAGAGTAAGATATCTAGATGTTACTTTATGGAAATAATGCCTGTTAAAATTGCTATAAAGCCTTGGGTTCACACGGACAAGGCTATGTTGAATCAGCCTTGCTCATATCTGCATGCTGCTTTAAAAATGAGTCTTAAACAATTCTTTAGATTTAAGCAGAATGAGTACTCACTGATTGTACCCTTCTGTATTTAGGGACTGCTCGCTCCTTTCTCAACATATCCTTAGCAGACAGGCTTTTAAAAAGAAGTATTGTTGGTTTGCATCTCAGTGTTTAAAGTTCTTGCCTGAAATAGTTCTGCAAACAAGTGGTGTGAAGACATTTCACAACTAAAAAATGTAAGTTTTAAACTACTCTATAGCAGCTAAAAATGCTGAGCTTGGTCAGCATATGGTACTAGCTAGCCTCATACCCACCAGCTCTTTTGTTGTCTTGTTATTGTTGTAGGGCTTAATGACAGTTGTAAGCCATAGTTGGGGATGTGGGAGTTAGTCCACCCTGGGGAGAAGAGGAGGAAACTGCAGTGTGGATTATGGAAATATGGATTGATCTAAAAAGAAACCTCTTTTTAAAGAAAGGGGCTCCCTCAAAGGAAAGCTCAGAGAAACCAATGAAAAGATGATGGAATATGATGTAAAAATGATCACTTGAAATCTTTCTTTCATTCCCAGCTGTTGTATTTTGGAGAAAAGAAATGCATTTGTATATTAAGAGAGAACTAAAAGAGCC